AGTACTTCCGTGAAGCTGGAGATATCGTTCGGTTCGCGTTGCTGAAAGAGAGCGTCGGATTTCTCCCTGAAAGCGTCCCAGTCGGCTTCCTCGAAGCGCCACCTGGGTCTCCGAGTCGTTGGGGGGACCGCACCTACGAAAAGCTGTATGCGGATTGGGTAGTGGTCACTACCGTGCAGGTCGGTACAGATATTCCACTGTGCCTTGTCTACGATAGATCGGCTGGCAGTGGCAATGTCGATCGCGGTGGTGTGCCGTCCATTAAAGAAGGTGGGAGCGCCATCGTTCAGCACCACCAAGTCCTCTCTCTCAAAAATGCTCGCCAGGATAGAGCCTCTGGGATCTGGGCGAGGGCTGCCCCAGTCCGGATGGTGCCCGTTGATGTCGCCGACGAAGAGCCGCGGCTCCGGAAACTTGGAAATAACTGCACTTAAGACCCCATCCAGATTGGCTATCCGTCCGCAGGGCAGGTACGCACAGCCGATAGCTAAGTTAGAGGCGTTCTTAAGGCGGACGCCGACGATTGGCAGGTTAGTTTCGAGGTCAAGAACATCGTGTGGAATGCTCCTAAGCACCCCGATGGCCACGGAGTGCCTGAAATTGGTGCAACGCTTGTAAGTCCAATCGTATCTCCCTCCCAGCGAGCGATTGAGTTGGTCGGTTGTGACTTTGTTGACCTCTTGTAGAGCGATTATCCAGGGGGCATCGCTTTGGCAGAGAAGCTCCAATTCCCCTAGGCGGCCATGGAATCCGTTTATATTCCACTGGAGAACAAGGTTCACCGGCTTGGGCAGTGCAGGCGTGGGGTACAGGGTGGTAGACTCGGCGTTGTCACGGTTTTGACTGCCACTCGGGTTAACGGGCTGGCCAATATCGTGCTGGAGAAACCCATTAATGTTCCAATCCGAATGAGACGGAGCCCCACCCGAGGCAGGAGGAGGAATTCCTCCCACCAGAGGCAGGGATGTTCCAACGGGCGAAAGGAGGTTCAGGTGGTTCTCGGCTGTGTGGTTGGATAGGTCATCATCGGACGGAGGCCCACAAAAGCCAGGCGGGGAAGTTCCGTTGGGCCGAGGTGATCTTGGCGTTGATGACGTGGTAGTGGAAGACGACGATGGACTTGGGCCGATGACCGAATGAGACAGAGCCCCACCGGGGGCAAGCGGAGGCGTTCCGCCCACCCCGGGCAGGGATGTCCCAACGGCTGAGTAAAAGGAGATTGCTTTCGGAATACGTAGGTTGCTGATAGGCTCCGGTATGGTGCTCGGTGATGCTGTTGAATGAGACAGGGCCACACCCAGAACAGGCGGAAGCGTTCCGCCCATCCAAGGCATGGATGTCCCAGCAACGGAAAAAAGTGTACTGCGCGTCGTATTGCTTGGCTTGGTTCCCTCGAGGTCCTTCGGGGAATGGGCGTAGCTTCCCTTGTCCATCCCGATACTTTGCGGTACCTTCATTCCCTCGTCGTCCATAGAGGGATGGGTGTTGCCACCCTTGTGCGTCTCTCTTCCAGTTCCCTCCCGGTGCCGGGGGGATATCGTCGGGTCCGGTGTGGGAAGGGCGTCCGCACCAACGGGGCCCCGGCTACCGGGGGATATCACTGGGCTCTTCACATGAGTCTTCGTCCTGTGGTCGCAGAGGGTGTCCGCCAGTTCCGGTGGGGTCTTAGCGTCCGCACTGACGGTGCCCTGCGTACCCAAGGCACAGAATTCTTCATCTGGATTGTCTGGGCGTCGGGGGGTGTCCAAAGGTTCTGGTACGAGTGTAGCTTCCAGTTCAATGGGGCCCCGGCTACCCGAGGCAAGTCGCAGACACGGTTGATGATGGTGGCTGGAGATTGAACATGGTATAGTACTGGCGTGGTCCGTTAGAATAGTCCGGGTGGATGTCTTAGGTGGCGTGGGCATTGGAGGTAGTAGAGGAAGTAGCTACTACGTCCGTTTCTCCTTTGAATCGATCTTCTTGGCCGGCGATGTAGGAGACTTCAGGAGCGGCTTCCGTATTTTGGGAACTTGGTCAGAGCGAGGGGGTCGCCGTGAATGGTCATGTTCCGAAATGGGGCGCTTGTTGTTTTTGGGTGTGAAGAAGTTGGGCAAAGGAGTGTCCGGTTTCTTGGCAGGGGTCGGGCTATTGTCAGGCGTAATCGTTGAATCACTGGCTCCATCCGAGGAGAAGATGTCACTACTGACGTCCACCAAGGAGGCGTTCGGGTTGTTCGAGGTGCTGGGACTGGAAGGAGCTGAGGCGGTGTTGGTTGAAAGAGCTGTAGGAGAGTTTGTCGGAATTGCAGTACTGGACTTGCCAACTGTAGGACTGCTAGAGGGTGTGGTAGCTACCTGCAACGAGGATTCAACGTTGCGAAGTCTTCGTTGCGTTTCGATTTCGGTGACCATCAGCGCTTTGATGGATTTCTGGAACCTTTCCTGCATGGCCAGCATCAGGTGGTTGTTGTTCTCCATCTGTTGTTGAAACAACGAAGCGAAGTCAGTTGGAACTGGGTTGAGAGGGACAGCAGTCGGATCGGTGGAAAAGGTCGAGTTGCCTTTCATTTGCAATGCGGCTTGCAGTTGCAAGATGGTCCTATCACGCTCCTTGACTTGGTTAGCAAGCTCCTCCAACTTCTCATTCATTTCCGCTAGTTTGCTCTCCATGCTGGCAGAAGCAACACCAGCGAAAGTTCTACTACCGTTGTTTTGGTCGTACATACGACGCGCCTCGGGGTAGGATAAGTCCCGGTCAACCTTGATCTTTTGAATCGCGTTTTCGCGAATGTAGCTTGGGCAGGAACGATCGGAGAGCGAGTGTTCATGTGACTGGCATCGGGCACAGAATTTGCCGTTGGGGCAGGATCTGTCTTCAGGGATCGGGTGATCGCCGGAACATTTCCCACAGGTCTGCTTAGCCGCCTTACACCTCATCCGTGTGTGACCGAAAGCCCAGCAGCTGAAACACTGCATGGGCGATGGGTAGTATGGCCGGGTTCGACATCTAAGGTACCCGAAATCCACGTACTCGGGCGTACAAGTGCCGTGACAGGTAATGATCAGGGTCGCCGTGTTGAACGCGTGATAGCTAGTGTGATAGGAATGTTTGCACCCAATATTGCATATTTTGCCCCCAATTAGATTCGCAGCAGAATAATTTTGTCACACCACAAAATGTTCACACCGTTTTCGGCATACATTGGTTTATTTAGATGCTACAGTTTCATGTAGCGAGGGCGCATTATAGGGTGGCGTATCGAATAATCGGTTTGTTTACCTGCTATTCCCTTTGTACTTTGATGTGTGAACATATGTTTTTAACTATCAAATATTTTAACATCAGTCTAAAAACCAAAGGAACCCGCAATATTCTCAAAAACAAATGAAGCGCTCCGACCGAATCAATCTTTATCTTTATCCGATAGGCCGAAGTGAATTCATTTGCGTTCCAATGCGTTAGGCCGAGTTTAGAATCCGTAGGCAGAGTTTGGCGTCAAGAAGCAGTGTTAGACTTTTGACAATATCTCAATGATTGGTTTCTCTTTATCAAATCTTACGACACGTACGGAAAGGTAAATAAATTTGTAATCAGTAATAATAACATCCCGTTTGGTGCTAAACTACGCTTGATTAAGAAAGATTAAGTGCTGGTTATGCTTAATAGGCCAGAAATGGGGTAGTTGACCCTATTTATATATTTGTATAAATTACGTTTTCGCCGACTTTCTGGATGTATAAAATTATAAATGCGAACTACATTGCTCTAACGTTACACACATAATGAATTTATTGAATCATTTTAGCTTAATTCGAACCTATCGAACCGCACTATAAGTTCCTACACAGAAATTCAAATTAAAGCCACTGCTGCTCTGCTGAGTCGTCCAGGTCCGAGGTCCACGATGGTGGTTCTTCGTCGATGTTGAGTTTATCTTGCTGTTTGGCATAATCGCCATAAAAATCTTCCATCGACTTTGAAGGGGCAGTTTGAATTTCATTTCGTACACGTGCTATACGAAAGCGCATTTGCAATTCCATCGCCGAAATGTCTTCACGGGTGAGCATTGCTAGCGCACCGTTTGCTGCTAGTCCCTCCAGCTTCAGAATGTTTTTTAAGAGGGGAGAACGTTTCCAATGTCTTGTTGGATTTTTTCCCAAAAGTAATCCTGCTTAAGTGGAACGACAAATTAATCTTCTGCACTTTTGGAATATAATTCGAATAAATTATAAGTTTCCTTTTTAAATTAATACTTACTTCCAGGCTCATCGATTAAAACTGGAAAACACGTCAACTTACTTTGCTTGACAGCATCAGTTTCAACATTGGTTTCAATATAACATTCAGATTGCTATGTGTATAATATATTGATCAACGCGAGTTGCTCAGAGTTACTCAAAATTAACTCCGATTTTACTCGTGATCGAAAGCTATCTTGCCCCCAGCATCCTACCATTCACACCGTGATCTATGATTGGGTCACAGTAGGCTTGGCCATTAGAATAAATTACCGTCTCATTCGTGGAAAGTAAGTTAGTGTCAATAAACAAATCAGATAATACCACACACACATCACACAAACTGATTATTTGTACTAACAGCAATTCATTACCAACGATGCGCAAATCAAGTTCACATCTACGGAACAGCTTCACTACTAAGAAATGTTTAAAGTGCAGTTCTTCCGCTCTGGGTATTTCCATTTCTGAGTCGATATTCTTGTGCGACATGTTTCTCGTCAAAACATCATCATTCAACGCAAAGATGCCATAGAACCAACTCTATCCGAACAAGATCATTATCACAGTGTATGGCCAGCTATCAATAAAACAGCCAAACAACACGACAACCGAAACCGGTTCGGCAGAACAAACTCGTCTTCTTAGCAGATACTGCGATCTACCGATCTACCGCAGCGCCGTTCTGAGATCATCTCAGAAATGCGCCACTCGCAGTTGCGATCCGTTGCTCGACGGAAACGGCCACACGCGTTCATAGCACAAAGATTATAACAACATACGGTGGTGGTGAAGATGATAAGCTTTACGGCGGCACTGTTGCCGTTGGTTCTGGTACTGGGACTTAGCTCAGCGTCGGAGGTGTTTGAAAATGCCAAATTCCAATGTGGTATCCCCAAGAATGCCAACACGCTGCTAATCGTGAACGGAATGGATGCCAAGATCAGCGACTGGCCTTGGCATGCTGCTCTACGGCAACACACGGCCAGCGGCCAACCGGAGTACGTCTGCGGTGGGACGCTGATCAGTGAGCGATTCGTAGTAACTGCAGCCCATTGCGTGACGGATGCAGACAATCCAAATAAAAAATTGAAACTGTCGGTTCAGCTGGGTGTGAACGCTGCTGGATCTCCTGAAGGGAAGATCTTCAACGTGCTAAAGGTTAGTCGACATTCTGGATTTTCGTTGAATGATTTGAAGGACGATATTGCGCTGTTGGAACTGGAAAATCCGGTTCCATTCAGTGAATCGATTTTACCGGCTTGTGTCAGCAGAAAGACCGATTTGGAACCGGGTAAAATTGGCGCTGTTGTTGGATGGGGAATCACCGAGAATGATATTCGGTCGACCACGCTGAAGCTGGCAAAGCTGCCGGTTATTGAGGAACGTGAGTGTAAGCAAAAAGAACCGGAATTGTACGGCCGAGTGTTGACCAGCAAGGTGTTCTGTGCTGGTTATACGAATGGAACTTCAGCTTGCAATGGAGATAGTGGTGGTGGAATCGTCTTTGAACGAGGTGACGCTTGGTACCTGGGAGGTATTGTGTCCTTCACGAAAGCTAGGGATGGTGATGACCGTTGCCTTTCTACAACCTACACCGTGTTCACCAAGTTGCTGCCGTATTTGGATTGGATCGAAAAAGTCACCAACACCGATTTCAGCAACGAGTATGGAATTGAAAGTAAGTATTGCTGATGCATCCCCTATTATCAGTAACTAATAAGTGTTTTTTTTTTACAGAAATCGTACCTTGCTCGGTGCCTGGTCAATCAAACGGAAACTGCGTCCCGGTTCAACAGTGTAGGAACATTTTCGACGACCTGAGATCTCCCGTCTTGACTAAGGATACGGCCAACGCCCTTCGTCAGAAGGTTTGTGAGCTTCGTGGAATTCGCCGCAGTGTCTGCTGCGATCCGAATCATGTGGAACGAATTCCCATCCACCGGAATGCAATTCTCCTACCTCTAGAATGTGGAGTTGCCAAGCGGAGTCAACCGACGAAGACAGCTTCCCGTGCCGGTGTATTCGAGTTCCCCTGGATGGCACTGGTTCGATCCAGCAAGGCCACTCCGAACAAGGATCCTTACTGCACAGGGTCGTTGATCAACAACCGCTACGTGCTAACTTCAGCTTCATGTCTGAGGGCAAAGGAACATAAAGATTTGTAGGTCTATGAGATGAACAGGTTTTTCATGTTAACTCACCTTACTATCTTCACTTTCAGAGATTACGTTCGACTGGGAGAGCGTACGTTGAACGAACCTCGAGATTGCGACACGTTCAGTGATCCAAGAACTCGCAACACCGTTGAAGAATGCTCAACCGGTCCGGTTGATATCAAGGCACTGCTTCCGTTCACCATTCATCCCCAGGCTAACAAACCCTTCCGGGCGAACGATTTTGGCCTGGTGCGGTTGGTCGACAAGGTTCAATTCACTGGTAATATAACTTTTAGTGTGATTATAATCTGTTCCCATTCGGCTAACATGATTGCTTTCTTTCAGACAACATTCAACCGGTCTGTCTTCCGGTCCGAAACGATCTGCGCAACAACCTTCCGCATGAGTTTATCCTATCAATGTACGAGATCACTTTCCAGAACAATCGCTACTCTCAGGAGGTGTACAAAACTCGATCCGAGTTCACCGAAGTGGAGGAATGCGAAGAGCGTTTCGAAGACTACGGCTACACTCCGTGGATAACGGATAAGATGTTCTGCGCCCTGGCCCAGGGACCCAACTACATCTGCACGCCACATCTGGGAGCGCCGCTGGTGTCTATGGTTCCCCAGGGTGGCGTTGAGAGGGCAGTTCTGTACGGACATTCGATGCAAGGGCCCTCCAATTGTACGATCGCCCAAACCATTTCGAAGACCTACATCCGGGTGCCATTGTATGTGGACTGGATTCTGGAGAACATCAGTCCATGATGGAGTATTTAGCCAATCGAATCTAGGTTTAAGGGGGTATTCCCAATCTTTTGCCTTTTTTCGGCCTGTTTTTCAATTAATTTTTTTTCAAGGAAAATGAATAGTAATGCGCCTAACTCTTTGGGATTCTTGTTTATTGAACATTAAAGTTTACAAATAAATTTTTTTCGACATGAAAAAAGACATTATTGACGTCACAGAATGGCGACAAACAGACCCCTGTTCGCCGCAAACGCCTGGACGGGCGAAGACTTTTCTCTGGAACGGCTTCATCTGAAACAGATTTCGTGATAAAATTAATAATCTGCATAAGATTCTCTGGAGCTTCTCCCGTTGGCAGCAAAAAATCTTGCAAATTAACAAAATGGCGGCCATATGAAAAAACAGGCGATTTTTAGCCCGCTTTTTTGCAGCTTTAAGGTGCTTCAAACAATGTTAAATGTTAATATTTTTGGCTCCAAAGAATTTAATAAGGAACAAAATGCGCAAAAATTCAAGTCAATATCTCTTATAGTTTCTGAGAAAAATTTTCGCCCGATAAAAAAATGTGGTTTCGAGAAAAACGCGTTTAAAGTTTAGACTTTAGTTAAAACCATTTGGGGGTTCTTACCATTAGTCAGCTATGCCTGGACACCGAATTCGCTGATCGGAAAACGGCTTGGGGGGATGAAAGTAGGTATATAGTCTAAAGTACAAAAAAACGTGAAAAAAAAAATTTGATTTTTTGAAAAAAAAGATCGGGAATACTCCCTTAATTGTTATGGTATGCTGGCTGAATAAATTAATATGCTCTGTGGAACTATTTGCACAAGATTTGCTTTGTTATTTTTGAAATTATTTGTGGAACTATTAGCAGCAGGGGAAAATGAAGCCTGATTAATCCTAACAGGTCCAAACAGGCAAAATGAGGTATTTTGTTGCTAGAGACTAAACGTTTAACTTTAGCCATAAAGTAACTTCGAAAGATTTGTTTGTATGAACATCCTCCACAATTTGAACGTAACGGAAATTAGTAAAGAACTAGATCAAAATTAAACTTGATTCCTACAAAGCATTCCGAAGATCCAACTGATATAAGTTCTCAAAATACGCGAAAATAATAATTTTTATAAATTTTTTGAACTCCTACCCATTAGCACTAGCGTGCACAGGAATCTGGTTAAGAAGGGCATTTTTTTCTATGGTGCATTTAATCTGGGGATGGGGAGTATTCCAAAGTACTTGGTGGATGGTGCTGTGTACCCACCACTGATTCCTTACAGTTCAATCTAGCTAATTTTTATTTTTGTTTTGCTCCGGTGGTGGTTCATCTTCTTCAATGCAAACTGCTTTCAGATAGCCTAGGGAATTGGCAATTTAATCCCACCATTATCAATATACCTGGTAACAATCACCAACTACTCGTGGTGGCCACAATCGCTCGTCTTATCTGGAATGATTGCCACTGGTTTTCTTCGCAAGGTTTTCGCAATGTTCCGCACCATTACATTGTGCAACGACATAATCAAATCATTTTGAATACGGTTACTTGTGTATTGGCAATTTTTGGCACCTTCCGCCAAGTGTTTTTCCAGCACAGGATCGAAGTTAGCCACCGACTGGGTGGCACACTTTCCGCTCCTTCCGAATGCTCATGAAGTGGTCGGCCACCTTTGTAAAGTACACTCTGAAAAATCTTCACGTCCGATCTACCTGAAAACATAGGTGGTTTTCGTTCACCCTACTTTTCACGTAACTTTAACTGCAATAGTATGTAGCCGAAAAAAAATCAGTTTCAATTATCTACGTGATCAGTCACGTATATAAGGCATGATTTTCGCGTACTACTTACGTGAAAATTGGGTAACAAATACAGGAAACATTGGTAATTTTTACGTGATATTCCGTTTCATTTAAAATGCGTTTCACGCCATTTGCACGTGATTTTGGAATGATAGTGATTGAACGTATTAATAGAAGCAGTCAATATTTTGCAATTTTATCGGGCAGCTATAAATTTTGCGTGTTGCATTTGATATTTATATCTGCTCATAAAATTGCAAATTATTGACTGTTTAACAAAATATTAATAAATCTGTTTCAAACATTTATTTCAATTATCATTATAATTATTCTTAACTCTAAACATGTACGTATTTCCAACGCGATGTAGTGATACAGGCTGACTGTCAAAATAATCTATGCTAATTGTATCTACCAAACTTAAACGATTCATCGCTTCGTATGCTAAAAAGTGTTCTTGGTATTGGCCTACATCCCAAATTTGTACTATTAAATACAATGAATTTTCAAAATACATTATTTCAAGAATCTCATATAAAAGTGTGGTACCGTTTCTGAACAATGTCATGAAATTTCCTGTTCGATAATTAGTTCCTTTGTTATTCACACTGCCTGAAAGCATCACTTCATAATCTGTCTGTAGACGTAGAGGCTGAACAAACTCGGAGAAGTATTTTCGTAATCGAATATCAGCCATCTGAAATCCATCATTGATGTCATTTTCAAGGAATGTTTCATTGAAAACATTATACGTAAATTGCAATGATGCTTTTACGCACAGTGTATAACAAATGTTTTTACGTGAAGGCATTACATGAGCATGCTGTTTGAAACCACGATGATTGGCTTCGTTACGAAAGCACATCATTTTATAAACAGGACCTGAATCTTGAATGACGGTTGGATAATGAACTAAGAAGTGATGCTTGGGTTTTAAATCATCGTTAAACAGCTGAATATACATAGTATGGTGTACTTCAGTAAGATGCCTAAGTCGAGCAAGATCGTCCAGTGAAAACGCAGATTTCAAACATAGTTCAACCAATCGTATCATTATGGTGCAAAATTTCCAGACTAAATCATCTGTGGGAACATACTTAGCCAAGATCAAAGTAAAGTAGTGCGTGAAATTGAGCATTTCACTTGACGTCATTCTGAGAGATACAGATTTTTGCTTTTTGCGACTCATGAAGTATTCTGATACATCGGGCATACGTCTGAGCTCATCGTTTGGACATGTTTTACTAATTTCTCTACGTTTTTCATTTAATTGCTTTAAAGTAAAATATTTTTTTACGTAAATACAGTGATTCAAAACTTTTGTTAGATCATACTTGCATACTCCTGAGCTAAAAAGATCGTGCATAGGATCGACACTTCTATTCTGCACGACATGGAAAGATGGTAATGTGTTAAATACTGAGTAACCAGCAATTCCTGTTTCACTTAGAGAATTTGTTCTAACATCATCATCATAATCTAGCTTCCGTCTAAAACAGTCAGCATGCTCCAAAGTGTTCTTTTTAAGAAGATCTTTTGGCCTTCTGCAAAATCTACAGTAAAAGGTGGCATTGAACCCGCTTGACAAAGATAGCATTGTATGAATGCCTTTGTCTCCTGTCAGTAAACATACACTGAACCAAATTGTCCATACATCAATGTATGATTATTGCTTCACTTGAGCCCCATACGGATTATTTTTCTATTTGTGAAAGATTATCATTCTCTGATTCAGCTCTCAAAGCACAGAAGAACTGAATAGCATTAATTCTAAAACAGGATGATTTTCGTTCTGCACGTTGTAAACCATTAGCATGATTATCATCCATTCTTAGGAAGACTTGAAATGAACAAACCGAATGATTAACATTGAGATAGATACGGACTCGTCATACAGTTTCAAAATAAATTGTCATGCAACGTTTAAATGAAATATAAGTGCAATCTGAATGAAAAATATATGGAAGCAGAAAGCTTATTTTACTGTTTAAAAATTGTGATCATAACGAAATATATCTCTTCTAAATTGTTGGAACTGTGAATTAATGTTGTAAATGAAACACTTCTGTTTTATAAGCTGAACAATTTTTTTATTCATTTATGATAAAACAACCACACTAAATGCTGCAATGGGCCGGCCTCGCCCCTGGCGTCCCCATCGAACAGTGGATTCGCCGGTTCGGACTCGTCATCCACGGAATCGAACCCAATCACGTTCTGTAGGAACTTGTGCAATTTAGGATGTTGGCTCGGGTTGTTTGTGGCCTCAAAAAGCAGTTTGAAAATGTTGTCCCAAAATCTGCTAAACGAGCTCATCAGCTGGTTGGTCTTGAAGATATCACTGGAAGATAAATTTGTTTTGTTAGAATCGTATTGCTTGAAACCAAGGACCTCCCTCCCAGTAACTTACTGAAGTCTAGGAATTTGAATCAACCAGCGGATGTTGTTTTGATTACACGTTTCTGTCGATGGCCTCTTGGCCAGTTTGTATAACTCCACTCGTTCGGCGACTTGCCGTAGTACGAAAGAGGTAGTTCGGCGTTTTGGTACTTGCTTTCCTCAAAGTCGCTGACCACCTCCTCGAGGGGGGGCTGGATCGCGAACAATCCACGGGCACTGAAGCATTCGAATCAAACGGGAACGGAACGAGTAGATATTTTTTTGCCACATGAATCCGAAAACTTTTTTCTCGTTCGCTTTTTGGTGACACTCCGCGTGGTATGCGAAAAAACTGTGTACTGCTATTCGAGCGAGACGCAACAAACTGCGAAAAAATGGTAAGGCTAAAACGCAATGGGAGACTGAAACGATATGAAAATGAATCGTATGACAGTTGTTGTATGATTTTCGTTATGGGGTTCACTTGGATGATTTTAGTTTATTTTTGTTCTTGAATTCATTTATTGTTAATACCTTTCAAAATTTGAACGGTACTTCATTAAGTGGTTGATGTTATTTCCTTTTATGATATGTATGATGAATCATCCCATTTAATGTCAATTATCAGTCAATCGGGTATCTCATATTATTTTCGATGTTAAAGAAATCGGATAACTCTGAATGATTAATCATGCAATGACGACATGGTAAATTCGCTCAGTGTAGCACAAATCTAACAGTCTTATTTTCACCATCGATACAGAAATTTATACCATTCTCTTCCAGATCTCTAAATATGGAAATCAATGGTTCAACCAGTTTGTTAATGTCCTTTTCTTTCATGTCTTGCTTTTTCAACATTCCAGCAACAAATATGTTTTTCAGCTTTGACGAGAATTCATTTGGTAAAGTGAGAAGGTTATAATAAAGACCACATACGCTATGTCTATTATTGTGCG